TTTATTTACATCTCTGACATAGAAGGTGTTCAGAATCTTCTACATATCACTCCTCTCCTGCTTCCATTTTCAGTTGTTTCTCTGCCAAATCGTGAAAGGTAAAGCTTTTTAGATGTTTCTACTACACTCCTTGCTTTAGCAGACACCATTCAAATGCTCAGTGCTTTGTTAAGTCTGGTTATTTCAGCCTTTATATATTGTGGTTGTGTTACTTTGTATGGTAATGTGACATGACACAACAAGATGCTCTGTGTTAAAGAAAAAAGATCTCTGAGATCTCTGTGCATTTTACAATATGTCAGAAACAAGTATTACAGAATCAGTCTCAGCCTACTTTGATTAAAGGAAAAAAGTAGTCTACCTGACTTCCTGATACTCTAATTCCTTAAAAACATACTGCTCCGGGGAACACTTGACTTCTGGTAAGTGAAGTCTTCCCCACCCGTGTAGGATCATACTTCACATTTGTTCCTATTTAAATTAAAAAGCTAAACAGAAACATGAAACTATTTTAAGCAAAAATGAACAAGTCTGGTCTAAGGAGTCTATCCCTTATTTACTATCTTTGGAAGAGGTGGATTTTCAATTAACACTTTTAACTTTTCTGATTTCCCTTAGGGCTGATAAGAATACAAAAGAAACATGTATTTTAAAAAATCAGGAACTTAATTATTAACATAATAAAATAAAAATAATAAGAAAACATCCAACTGGCTGATTTTGTTCCAGGTATATAAGAATTGAAGTAAATCATGGGTTCTGCCATTTTTTATAACTTTTCCACAGGTTTTACTAGTTACTAGAGATTTGGATTTTTTATTTTAAAAAATTTAACTTGTCCACTACTAATATCCACTACTGCGGATCATTACATTGTGCAGGAAATGAGAACTCACAAATTAGGACATACCAGAACTAAGAGTACTGATGCAACAGTACATTTATCTGCTTAACAAATTTCTATATCCTTCTACTCAAAATCCCAAGGAAAACCCCTGGCTAAGGTAAAGCCTCCTGCTTGCGAGACATCACACACAGTATAAATACAGTTCTTTCTCCCCTTGCACCTGTTTGCATCTGTCACTTTTCCACCTTGGGTCACATATGCACCATACAAATAAAAGCTGTAACTTTCATAAATTTTATAACTTTTACAAATTGAAGGGCATGAAAGCACTGCTATATTTCCTAAGCTGAACACAGAGATTTGCAATAAAAATTGTTAAATAGTGTTACATACAATCAGGTGCCTGTATCTGCCAAAATCAGACTATGCCTGATAATTTATTACAGCCAAGTACTCTATCTAATGACACGTAAGTCGGAGTAGTGAGGCCTTTTAAGATCAAGATATTATTTTAGCCCCACTGGCTGTTGTGGGCCCTGAACAGCTGCTTAATTTCAATATGGACTTTAAACATTTTTAGTCTGTCTTATGTGACGTCCAGTACAGCAGACAAAATATATCCTGAGTTAAAAGTGGCAGAAACCTTATAAAATGTTAAAATCAATATCATTGCTCTGGAGCAGAAGGAGTAGATATTTCCTAAACTGGTCTTCTGATCCTGTTGCATTGGAGCAATTTTCAACGGAGGCAAAAGAACACAAAAGAGTTTTCCCTTCCCTGTTACACCTCCATTTACCTGCCTCATCAAAAAAGGCCTTTCACCATGAAACAATAATGCTTCTCAAGTTGCTTGCATTCCCCAAATAAAAAAGTGAAAATATAAAACATCTGAATATCTTTTTTTTCCTCGCTAGCATATATGCAGACATTATAAAAAAAAACCAGGCTTTTACCACTGATGTTAAAACTCATACTAACTGAAAAAGCCTGAGACTATTTTAAGGAAATATTTTCATAAAACTATACTATGGTTTCAGTATGGTTAAAAAAATATTCAAAATTAACCATCAGAAAACCTAACAGTATCCAGAACCTCACCAAAAAGCGATGAAGAATGTTTTTTTTAATGATCTCTCAAAGCCATTACAAAGACAACAGAATGCATGCGATATTTGAGCAACAAAATTTAAAAGGTTTCAACAACACTACTATAAAGCTAAGAAGTTAATAGTTATGATGCCAGAAATCTTGACATCATTGCAGTTAAATCAAAAAGTAACATATATCTGAAAAAGATCTGTTTAGAATATGTATGTTGTAGCCAATAAAGACGTGAGAGTGAAAAGTAAATTGAGATCCAGCACACAAAAAATGAAATGCATCACAATGAAATGCATGTGAACAACCTGGCTGAATGTCTTCAAAATCCGTGCTGGATTTTTGGTGCCAAATGTAAAGGGGATTTACTGTAACACACATATATTTCAAGATAATATTGTAAACCAGTCTTCAGCATTTGTACATAAAATTATTTGAAGTAGATTCAAAGATTCTTCCCCAAATCATTACTATCTTTTTTTTTTCATTTGAGCAAGAAATGGAAAATGTTTTCTAAGGAAATGACTTAATTTGGTAAAGATCATACAAAAGCATTTTTTCATATTTTAATAGAGCTAAATTTCTAGTTCTAAATAAATTTAAAACAGGAACAAAAGGAGAAGCGGCTCTAGTCTGGTCTGCCCAGATTGGTACCAGACAAGAAGAGACAAAATAGATGGCAAACCTGTAAGGACCAGAGAACTGACCTTTAACTGAATTTTGCAACTTTGTGGTCAATATACTCAGTGATCTTATGTTCATGAAAGAGAACACTTCTGGAAGTAAACACTCTAAACCTACCTACTCACATCAGATGATGTATTTCAATAGAGATGGAGTTTAAAAGCAGTATTGTGCATTACCCGCATTGTAACTGAAAAGCCTGTGTTACCTGAAGCAATAATTCAAATGGACAGTTTCTCTCTAAGGAATACGTGTTTGACTGTTGTTTTTCCCTATACTGTTGTTGCAAAAAGGTCACAACTGTATAAAATACACAGGAGTGGAGTCATGATCTCATGCCAAGTCAGTCAAAATGAATGCCATTCCCAGCTTTGTGAATGACTTGCAACATTAGTAACAAAATTATTTTCTCCTTTCTGTTCATCTGTACAATAACACTTGCCTTCACCAGGTTGTTGTGGGAATTAATTATGGATATGTTAATATTTAGGAAGCATCATAAGCTGCATCCATTCCTACAAAAATTCGTCCTACAGTAGCTTGACTGTTTTTCAGAACAACAATTATCTATCTTTTTTTATTTGTTTGTACAGTTCTCAGAACAATAGGGTCTTAATCCTTGACTTGGACAGCTAGAGACCATTGAAACATAAATAATTAGAAAACAATATGAGTTGAGAGGTTTTAGTGAAGTGTTATACTTCCCAGGGCTCCAAGGCACAGAGCATTTAAATGACCAGAATTTAGCCAAAGCAAAGGGAATTGGGGACAAGGAACCATAGCTCTGGTTGCTTCTAACAACTTTGGTGGCTTGTTCTTGAAAGAGCAGGGATACAAAAAAGAAGGCTGCTGGAATGCATCTGTGAGAAAAGAACACTACTTAGAGGAGCATGGGGACTGCAAATATAGTTGTCTTTTCAGTGAGGCATTTAGGGCAAGAGCTTTTTATGTATCTGCCAGCTCTACTGTATCTGTAAATTATGAACAAACACAGTAGAAAAAATGGGGGGTTGTTTGGGTGGGGTGTTTTGAGAAACAGCATATAAACACACAATTTGCCAAAAGAGATACACATCAACAAGAAAGAAACAGCTACCAATGGTAGCTGTTTTCTCTTGAGATGTGTTCTGTGCATATCTAGGCTGCCTTTATCATGAGTATACCCACTACATTCAAGGTGGAGTCTCCAGAAGTATTAGCTGTGTGTCATGATATACATCAAGAACATCCCCCTGCTTCCCATCAGAAGTAAAAAGGTTGGAGCCAGTCCAAGTGCTCGAGTAGCTCCTAATTTGGTCCTTCATCTACAGCATCTAATAGCTTCAAGTACCAAGCATAAAGGGTATGACATGGAGTTTGTGCCAACATTTCCAAGTAAAACAATTACTGAACAATTAAGTAACAATTTCTTCATTGCCTGTCCTCACATTTGTTCTGTTGTTGGTGACTTCTAAGCTTTGTACTCTCTGAAAGTGAGTATAAGAAATCTGGACTTGTTTAGAAATGAAAGACTGATGGGAAGCATGACTGCCAGCACTAATGTGAAAAATAATTCCTTCCAAGTGACAAATGAAGAAATGCTCTGCTTCCAGTCAGGCTGGAAGATACCTGGAGGACAAGCAATTTCCACAAGGTGATGAATGAAAAGGAAGTAGAATGCTGAGACGAAAGGCTGGAGTGCTTCCAGCAAAACATGAATTTAGGGTGCGGCAAATGAAAGCAGTCTTCAGGGCAGAAAAAGGGAAAAGAGTCAGGTTTAATACACCACCTACAATTTTTATTTTCCTAAATAAAGGAATTAAAGCAATTAAAGTAATATATTAGGAAAAAAATGGAGAATTGCAACAGAGACTACGTAAACATTATTTTCAACCACTGATCAGACTATGTAGAATACAAATGCAACAAGAAACAAATTAAACATTTACCTAGATATAGCAAATTAATATTATCCCGATATTTTAGAACAGCCTGAATCCCATTAAATTATTATATAATGTCATTATTACATTGTGCATCCAAAACTCTTTTATGCTCTCAGTAAACAATACGTAGTTAATATATACATAATTTTAAACACATTAACCCACTCCTTTAAGTAATCTACTTAATGCACAATAAAAATTATGGCAAATATGTCTTTCCAACTGTTTAGATCCATCAACCCCTCTTGTATTTGCAGTTTGATATGAAAAAACTTCAATAGATTAGAATGATAAGGCTTTTTCAAAAGACTGAGAAGCAATATGCATAGTTTGACGTGATCTGAAATAGATGCTGAATCTCTGTTTTTGAAAAAAGAGAAATAAAGTTATCTTTCTTTTTAACTGAATTAAATTGAAAAAAGTCTTAGAAAGTCCTAATATCTTACCTGTTGATATGCTTCATAGATTACATCAAACAAGAAAGCTTGAGGCATTTCACTCGCTCTGTACCTGGCACGTTCCAATGAGTGGTCTAAACAGCCATCTGCAGCAGAGGCAACAACAGTAGAAACTAGAGGACGAATTGCTCCTGCTGCCTGTGGAACAAAACACAAAGAGAAACCTAAATGTTATTAATATTAATGTATATGAGATAGCTGTAGTCAAAAAAAGCTTTAAAATACATTTTTCCCCTCTTTATCTTTCTACATCTCATGACGCATGTCATACTACCTAGTCTGTGTGACACTTTCAACACTAACATAGCAATGGAGGACTGTATAAGTACACATGGAGGGACAATTTACAAAAAAAATCTTAAGTCCTTCATATCTACTGCAAATACACTTACAGATCTGAAATGTTCATTTTTCAGACTTTCTTCTGCACACATAGTAGGTGGTTTCTGTGAGGACAGTTCTAGGCCTATTCAGATATCAAACAGCAGCAGACACACCTGAGAGGTCTTGACAATCTACAATACCTATTGCTTTCACAGACTTCAATTTGGATAAACTGCTCAAAAACAATTTACAAGAAAACTTTCAGACAATTGAGCTTGTTCCTCTGTTTGAATTCACCCTGTGAAATACTGAGCAACCACACTTACCAGTGAAATCACAGGGAATGCAGCATTTACATCTGAAAGTATTCCATATCAAGCAGCACTATGCTCTAGAACAGATACTTAAATGCTTATATTTCAGTTTCAGTTTTGCTTAGGTTTGAAACCAATTAAACATATATCTTTGATCTTTTCATCAACATATAGTATTAAAGATCTATGGCATCTCTGAAGCAGAACTCTCCTAGCTGTCTTTAGGCATTCTGATACACCCACACTGCATCAGTCACTTATCAAATGTTCACATGAACTTTAGGAGAAGCTTAAAACAACTTGGACAAGAGTTGTCCATACAATAATGAAGAAAAAGTGCAGTGGCAGAACACTGCTTATCAAGTCACAGAGCAAACTGCATGCTCCCCAATGATGCTAACCATTGAGAACGGCATGTTCACACTATACTGTTTATTAATAATTTTTAAGAATAATAAAAAAGAATAATTGATGCTGTTTCAAAACACTTGGAACTATACAACATCTTAAATCAGGATACCTAGAAAATCATCCCAATGCCTAATTCTGCCACTTTTCACAGCAGCCTCGGAAGATTTTCTGAGGCTTCATGAATTTTGACACAGAAAAAGAAGAGGTCCCTTATCCCATAACAGCACTGATATTAATGATTTTATTTATCTTTGTTGGCAAATCCTGCCCTCATACATGAGTCTTGTCCATTCTTAGAAGACTTCTGACCTCAAATAAGCATACAGTGGTAGAACGAGACAAAAAAGTGAGTCCAAAATTTTTGTACTCTCAGAAGAAAAGAACTAGTTGTCTTCCCTCCCCCTTTCACACTACTTAACAATAAAACAAAGGGGAATGCAGTCAGTGTTGAGCCCTTTATGAGCTCTAAATCACAGCTCCTTAGTTCATTCTTTTACAGAATAAGAACAGACATATGAACCAATTTCTCACGCCCAAAGAGTTCTAATATGCATGAGCTACCGGGAAGGGTGAAGGGAGAGAAAAGATTCAAAAGATTCGTGTGACAGGAGAAATATCTGAACTACTTTCTCAAAATCTGAAAAGCACTTTTACTTTCTAATACATGGAAAGAGATATCTATATAAAACACCAAACAGAGCAAAACACTATCATCCAATGGCAAAAATGTGGTACAGAAAGATCAGTAAAACTGTGAAATCATAGAACTGTCTGTCTCTTAAGAGGTAATCTAGTTCTTCTTTCTGACCCAGGCAGGATCAATTTTACTTCTGTAACAGAAAAGACAAACTGAGAAAACTAAACACCACTATAATTTTAGTAATACATCAATGTATTAAATGAGGTGTAAATTTAACAGATGTACTTAGAGTAAAAGCTCTGCATAGCAGAAGTAGAGAGACTAAATTATCTGCAACTTGTCCCCTATTTCCTATGATTCAAGGACATGGATTATTACATCTATATCCCAGCTGCTGGGCATTTGGACTATGTTATTTTGCTCTGCCGTCATATTTTAATTGGTCAGGCACACACACAAAAATTGTAAAATTAGAAGGTCATGGGAAAAGAGAGAGAGCAGCATGCTAGCCACAGCTTTTTTGTAATTAGCTGTATATTTGATTTTTTTTTTCTGGAACAGTTACCATTCCAGAAAACCAGTTAGCAAAAGAGAATTCCTTAGGCTGTTCCAATATTTTATTACAGTTTTTAACAATCATGTCATGTTACATTTTAAGCATAAAACAGACTGGAAGAATACAATGTGCCTTGCGTAACCAAATCTCACAAGTGAAACATCCACTCTGAGGAACAAAAAGCCAAACTGCAATTCTAAATAAAATTGAATACTCAAAATTGTTTTCTTAAAAGAACTCTGAAACACATTGTTTTCTTGCCATCTGGTTTATTGCACAATAAAAATTTATGAATGTCTATATCGGTATCTTTGTGTCAATACTGAACCACAATTCCTGCTCTGCTGAGGCCTAGCTCTTCCAAAGATTCAGAAAACTAAATCCAAATGCAACATTTTTTTAAAGCCCCCAATTAACTTCTCAAGTAATTGAAAGCTTCGCAGCACATAAAATTTAAAAAATGCATTTTTCAAACAACTTATAGTTTGGCTTCACATTACACCAGAACTGAGTCCAGTGTGACAGGCTCAGTTTCTCACCTGTCTTCCTGCCATTTCAATAAGAAATCACAAGTTGGGCACAATAAGATTTCTTCTGCAGCAGGTCCACCCAAACTATACCTGACACTGACTGAAAACATGAAATTAAATACAAAGAATAAGATTCGTGTCTGACTTCTGATCATGCAAGGGACAGAAATTCTATGTATGCAATAACAGAATAATTAGCAGTCATTTGATTTTAAAAAAAATAAACAGGTTTTATTCCAAAAAAGGACAATTCAGTCCACGACTGAAAGCAGAATGGAGAGCTCTAGTGCTTAGCAAAGCCAAGAAGTTTCTAATGCATAGAAAACCTTCATATGATGAGCACCTGGTATCCAAAAGCCCACAATCCATAAGCTAGAGCATACTTGCTAAGGTGCAGCACTGAGTCAAAACCTTAAAATCCTGAGGCAAGATACAGAAATTGGTTGTACTGGCTCAAGTTTCTGCAGGACCTTTCTCTGTCTCAGTGCACACCCATATGGGCTCCCTCAACCAGACGATGCGACCCAACACAAGGCTGTGTCTACCTCCTACCTCAGCGACACGTGAAATACATTAGTTCCTAAGGCCACTTTCAGACTGGGTGAAACTGGGATCAAGCAAGGGAAAATACTGGCCTTGTATGCCCTGCACCATTTTCATATGGCACAAGAGAGCTGAGTTCCTAACACAGGAAACCTTGCATCTGCAGTATGCTGGTATATGCCAGCACAGCTGCCAAACCCACACTGGTTTACACAGACCTCACCACACGTGCTTCTACTTCTGAAACTGGCTCGTGGGTATCTTCATTCATGGTGTAAGCATAATATTTGGCATGTAAAAACAGAAGAATTGAGTTTTGTGAGTTTTGTTCTTGTATAAAGGCCAAAGAGGAGCACAGTTTAACGTGTATGGCTCGTTCTGCGGTATTTCCTTCTGGTTAGTGCAAGCCTCCTCCCCACTCTGAGAAGCACAAAGCCTTTTCTGAATTCCACTCCCAGCAGCCCTGCAATGAACTAAACAGGGAATTTTTTTTAGGAGCTTAAGACAGGGCTACAGACTAATTTTTTTTAGTTCAGAAACTTAAACATTAGGGCACAGTAGGGACAATAATACATTAAGGCATTACTGGGTCTTACACTGACATTTCCCTACTCAGAGGTCTCCTCTTCCAATTTCTAATCATTATGACCCAGATCTCAAGCAGGTTTGCTTTCAAAATCATATACAAAATGCATCATACACCCTTCCTGAATGTGAAGTGGATAGTTATCCTGAATTTCTTTAAATGTCCACTTTACAGCCTTCAAGTCACTCCACTCCAAAGACAGTTAAGCATTAGTTTTGGTGAACTTAGCATGTCCAGGAAATGCATATACACTTCTTTCCCCCAGTTTTCCATATTCTGGGAAATAAATCAGTAAAATATTCCTTCATAGCACAGTAAACATTGAAGAGAATATTGCTAACCAGTTAGTTTTCCTTTGCAAACAGAATACTGTAAGAAAAAACATCCTTTTAATCTATCACTTCCTTAAAACAATCCTAAAATGTTGTAAGAACACAGAATTCCATCAACCTCAGGTGAAGTGACAGACTCATATCACTCAGAAGCAAGCTCACCCATCCATCTGCTAAAACTGAAGCTGCCTCTAGATGCTTTCAGAAACAGTAAGTGTCTTTTATGACCCGTTTTTAAACAGCACAAATCAAAAACATTTACAAACAAGTTCTCAGTTTTGTATTCAGTTTTTTTACTGAGACCACAGTATGCATTAAAGATTCAATGGTGACTGGAAAAAGGTAGAGAATGAAGTGCATCATGCACTTCAGTATAACAGGATATCACAAATATTTTCAAGAGATCCAAGGCGTACTGACTCACCTTTTTACTAAACAGTAACATTGTATTGTTCTCAGTTTATCACACTTCTACTCTGACAGGAAACTCTTTAGATGTGTGTATTCAGTGAATCCATAACCAGGGTGTGCTTTAAGATCAGATAACACAGTCAGTTCAAGGAAAGTTAAATCCAATATTAATGACATCTTTTATTACAAAATGAAGTATGAATGTTTAGACCACAGAAGCGTACACACAACACAGCAACTTGGCTAACACAATGCAGTATAGCTTAATTTTACTGAAAATTCATAAAAAATAAAAATCCTAATTTTGTTTAAAATAAGGTAATATAAGGTAATAAAAAAAAAACCCAAACAGAATCAATTAAAATTTCCATAAGTATTACAGGGTGGTGTGGGGAGGGGGGGATGGAGTTTATCTCGCAAGCAAAAAATCATCCAGCTTACAACAACACAGTGCAATATTCATCCTAGACCAACACTCCCCACCTACAACA